AATCTACCTGCTGACTTTAAAGAAGCTACTAGATCTGAAAAGCTGGCTATGAGTGTTGAAGAACGCAGACAGTATGATGAGGATATCAAAGTTGCAATTGGTAGGAATTGTGCCAACCAAGCTGCTTCAAGAATTGATGGAAAAAAATCAACGAAATCCAACATAACGGCATAAACACCTCAATATGAAAAACACCAGCTAATGTTTTTCGATGAGATATACTTGCTTAAGTATTCATCAGCATCATCAGTAGCCATATCAGCCGCTTGTGCAGGTAGTGCATACTATAGTCAACAAATGGACTTTTTTAATAAACATTATAGAGTGTATGACTGTTGTATTGAGGGTATTTCATCTGCATGTAACAATTTGTGTACATTTCATCAACAACACAGTTCCAATGCTTGGAATGATATTAAGGGGCATGTCCAACGAGTACCTGCACCAGTTCCTCGTTATTCTGCCGAGAAAGAAAGTGGATTTCATTATGCAACTAATGATGAAATCTTGAAAAAAAACTTACCAGCCTTGTATGGACTGGATCCTTTGGCTTTCTGTGACACCCTTCAAAGAGAAGTTGATGATTTTTGCCCAAGTGTACAACTACATAAGATCCTTGCAGAAGTTGGAGATCCAATTATTGAAGTTAAGTGTGAAAATGGCAAAGAAATTAAAATTGACAAGAACAATACATATGTGAAAATAAAGGAACTGATACAAAAGACCTAATTCATACTAAAATATACTGGGGAAGATCTTAGAGAGGTGGTCATGAGAGAAGTAGAACACAAATATGATTTGGCAGTCAAAGCATGTGCAAAAAAATTGAGAGACAGAGAGAAAGTAAAGAACAGGACCAGAAGTCAGCAATAGATTTAAATTGGCTTGATATTGTTCATGGAGGATTCAAAAATCTGCGTGTAGCAACCCTGAATAATTATTTAATGGAAATCATGGATATATCCAAGAAAGAAGTAATGAAAAAAGGCTTCAAAGTACAACAGAAAAAAGATATCATCACCAAACATGTTTATAGCCAAATTAGTACTGATGACATAATTGATGATACAGCCTCACTGACAACAATTACACCAAATACATATAACTACCCAACTGTGCCAAAATAGGGAGGTGAATGCACCGTGGAAGGAATGAGAATAAAACTTGTCAACACTTGTCCTGTGGATAATTGGTTAACAATGCTACATATATATATATATATATATATATATATATATATATATATATATATATATATATACAACTGAATCCTTCATCACATTTCTTAAATGTTTGTCAACCTGCACTGAAGTGTTTTGTGGAACTTTACTGGACGTGTTTCAAATGTTTGATCATGGACTTTTTACGGAAGGAAAATGTGAATGGCTGAAGATATTTCTAAATTTTCAGTTCAGCCATGGAGCTACCATTGATGTATGGGGAGAAGAAGAGCTCTTTACAAAAAAAATTTGGTCCATGGCTGAAAAACATTCAGTGGAGTGAGTGCCAGTCAGAAAACTGTCCATCAAGAGTTACAAATATGATATCACACGAACTTGTCTTAAGGTGAGTTATATAGTACAATGTACTTGCTATAATGTAAATACCATTTAATTTATTTTATATTTTCAACAATATTATAAAAACATACTTGACAGAAATGCAGTATTAGTTAGGAGCTAGTTAGTTAGGTATCATATATTTCTGAATATACATGTAATTTTATTTCTTTGATTGCAGTGCCACAGATGAATGTGACAATCCAGTGCAGAACATGTTGGACAGATGGGCTGATGAGTGTAAAGTACCATGTGGGAAGGTGATCCCTGATGCATCAAATTCTACAGAGTGAGTCTTTGTTTAATTTTATGCATTTGATATTGTATATCATGTATGGTTCATGTATGACATTGCTTCATTTGTGGGATTTAATGCAGGAATTCTATCATATTTTTTTTCAGTGAACCTATCCAGTGTAGTGGTTTAAGAAAGTATCGACAAAGGAGATTTATCACATCCACTCCCCCAATACTGCCACTGACCATTGATATGTGGTCTGACCACCTACAAAGTGTATCTGATCTGCCGAGGACATTGAAACTGGACAGAGAAATGTGAGTTTATGAAGTTATTCTGTTTTTGCACATCAACAGCAATTTGTAGAAAACATAAATTGTATTTAAACTAGTAGCTTTGTGCTTTCTGCAAACTTTCGCTTCATAAATCTAAATATCGTAATTTTTGTTATTATAGGTATATATTACATGGAGTAACTTTCTTTAAAATGGGCCATTACACCTCAGCATACCGATATGGAAGGAGAGGATGGATGTTTTATGATGGTCTGAGGGACCAACCCTTATCAAAGTTTCAATCCATCTCACCTGGCAGTAAAATATCAAGTCTTTGCTATCTCCGTTGAAGATGATGGAAAAAAAATGTTGGATATGGTGGACTCCTAAAAAAAAATGCAAGCAAACCT